ACAAGTACCAAAATCTAGCTATTTTACATAAACCAATAGTTCAAAATGAGCTAGTTTGATTTGGACAAATGGTGTTAACTGCCATTTCCTAAGGGTTATTCATGAAGAAGAATAAAAGAAATAATATTACAAAATTGATATTATATTGTACAGTGTGCAGTTACAAAAACTGACTCTTTACACGTTTGTAAATATGAGGTAGTACCACTAAAACAGGTCAATACAGTGTGTATATGAACCACACACACATTCTATGTGCGATAAAATAGTCAGGATTGGCCTGACACACATTCATATGTACAGGGCACACAGTGGGGTGAGGGTACTCTTAGGTAAATAACCTACACAGAAATATTTTACTTATATTACGCTATTTTTATGTTGCCAGGGAACTATAAATCAAATTTCATTTTAGGATTTTAGGACAAATTTGAGACGATAAATTCATGATAAACATGATAAATGATACCCAATGTGGAAAGGGAGTGGCTCCCATGTTGTTTCTTGCATCAATGAGTTTTGTACTACACACTTGAGTTTGTTTGTTGTTTAATGCTGCACTCAGTAATATTCGAGCTGTATGACCACGGTCTGTAAATAATCAAGTCTGGACCAGACAATCCAGTGATTGACATCATGAGCATCCATCTACACAGTTGGATACGAGGTGAGGTGAAATTGAGTTTAACGTCGTGACCAAGATTATTGCACTTATACAGCGATGTGCATGCATGTGTGTGTGTGTGTGTGTGTGTGTGTGTGTGTGTGGCTGCTTGTTCTTGTCTGGACTGATGTTGATTTATAGTGCTAGCTCACTGAGATACCATGCCGCAATTTAACATGAATACCCCACTCAGACACAGTATACTGACTCCGAGCTGACCAGTCCTTGTTTTAGCCCCTTAATGCCGAGCGCCAGACAGGGTAACAACAAGTACCATCTTTATACATCTTTTGGTATGATGCGGCCGGGGATCGAACCCTGGACCTTCCGCTCTCTGGGTGGACGCACTACCACAAGACCACAGAGGCGGTCCAGTTGGATACGATGACGCAAGAGAAGTTTCTTGATGAAGTACTGGTATTACCTCATAGTACATCTTACTATCTATCACTACATTGAATCAAGGTTACACAATATGCAGTAAAGTGTTGATATGTGAGCTGTGGTTTTCAGCCTCTGCTTATCTGATATCACAGATACACAAGCACAGCACTGTATGTGTGGCACATGATTCTGTATGTGTGGCACGTGATTCTGTATGTGTGGCACGTGATTCTGTATGCTTGAAGATTGATTCTGTATGTGTGGCACATGATTCTGTATGTGGCATGTAATTCTGTATGCGTGGAACTTGATTCTGTATGCGTGGACGTGATTATGTATGCGTGGAACGTGAGCCATACCGCTGGTGACAAGATTGGTTGCAGACTGTTGACACTCCAATATGAATCCACCACAAATCCAGGGACTGACCGTTTATCATTATTGGTACTGATTTAGAAATTATTACATTGTTACAAGGTACAATAAGCACCCATTGACAAATCATAGAGTAGACAATGATGACCAAAGTAATGGATAAAATTCCTGAAAAAAAATTCAATAAATCTGAACAATTCTTAATTAATTTTTTTGAATTTGAAATGTTCTGTCCCTTGACAAAAATTACCCCATATCAAATTGTCATACCTTGTCATTTATAGACTAGACATCATATACGGAACAAAAAAGTTAGGCATCATGAATATTTTGGGGGAATTTTTATCTAATTGTATTCTCAGTCCTCACTACAAAAAAGTGAGAACTGGGATTCGAACCCAGAATCATAGGTTTCTGGCGTGCCCACGGGACGCAACTCTGCACAGCGAATCGCGGGGCCTTAGACGACTGGGCCACCCACCGGGCTCCCCCACTTCAAAAAATATTCCACAAAATATTCATGATCCCGGACTATTATGTTCCGTACATGTACTTGCAAGTTACATACTAGGATTATAATTATCAAAGCATCCAATTGTTCCCATGATTACACACTGCACACAGCTACAGGACACTGTTGTATGGGATCCGTTCTTTAAATTAATCTTAGCGCTAAGGCTATCATAAGTATTTGTTACAGCACTCGATCAACAACAGTCATAGCACTGAGATTGCTTTGTGGAACGCGATCCCCATTGGTCTCTCACTATCTACATATATACACACAGCTGAACATGAAATTACAAGTATCACATTGTCGTTGTTGACATTTCTTCTAAAATAAATATTTGTAAAAATACATTAACCATATTAATAATGGAAGTGAAAATTGTGGGTATGATCAAATAAAATAGTAAAATATGCAATTAAAGTTTGCATGGGAATGGTGAACAATGGTGAATGTTGATGACATATACATAACGATTATAATGAAACCAAACGCAAATGTGAGCAATGAGGTATATGTCCCACTAAGCCCTGTTCAATTAGATCGATAACACTTCATGCAATCAGACTATGAAATTAAAACAAAATATGTTCATTTTTTGTTCACATGAAAAATAAATTAATCACCATAATCTAGGACTTTGTTACATGATCATTAACTTGCTTCCTGGACTATGATTATATTCATACTGAGCTAGACCTTGTTCTTGGTAGGATTTGGACGACAAACACAGAACATAGCTGTGCACGAAATTCACTCTACAAACACTAATACTATAATACAATGACATTCATCCTGTTTAGACGACGGTGACACCAAGATTTCAAGACGGTAATGATACCAGATAAATTAACAAATATTCAGATTAAAACATCAGTCATACGCGATAATATCCCAGTAAATAAAAACATACCCAGCAATCATCATTCAGAAAGCATAATGTCTTACATAACACACCACAGTGTGTAAAGATGTTCCTCAAAGTAATAGTTTGGTTGGCTGGCTTCCTGGTTTTATTGCAGAGCTCCAGATAAGCTTTTGGTGTTGTGGGTATTTTACGCATGCATTTTAAAATCATTGGGTATCAGTAATTCTATCTGGGTATGCAAATTTCTGTTACCCACTAGTTTTTACACATGTGGGTATTTAAGTTAAAAATTTAAAATCACTATTCATCTAGTCCCTGCAAACTGGTGTCGTGTAGGTTCGAGAGCTTTATAGGACTAAAAAATACCACGATAATTCCACAAGAAAGTGTGATGGCAAATGATCATGATGTAACTGTCATCGTGGAGTTTGGCAATGTTGACGTGATGCCTGTTTATAATTTCAAAATAAGTTCCTGATTTGCTAATCCAATGCGCAGGTTTACTTCACAATATTTTGATGATACGCACAAAATTTATTTTGTAGCGTATCTGTAATGTTTGTTGCGTATTTGATACACTTGGATTTTATTTTACCGCGTATTTCTGCATTTCTGATGCATATTTTACGCAGATACGCAGCTTATCTGGAGCTCTGTATTGTATTTCAAATTCATGTTTTACTTAACCACTGAAATACCTCTGTGATGTCATTAATTATGGACAACACAACAGTCTGGCGGAAGAAGACGTACAATTATCTGCATAAGGTAATGAAAGGAAGTCCTGCTCGCACAATGGGCCATCGTGAGGTCTGTTAGGGTTAATATACTTCAGTACATAATAAATCTCTCTCCTCTAAACAACAAGAAGCTATATGTTTGGGTGCTTCTTCCTTAATCAGTGAAGCATGAGTAGATTTACTAATAGGAGATGATAATATGATAATATCGTGATGTATGAGAGTGTTCTAAAGACAACTTACAAATTCTTCAATGGGACATTAGGCATTAAGCCATTGTGTTATGGACAGAAGGCATCAAGCCATCTGTGTTTACTGACATTAGGCATCTGTTTTATTAATGTGTTTCTCGTCTCCATCATGTTCTAAATTATTGTCCAGGTAAAAAATGTTTTTTTTATTTATGTCCTCCACTTCACCTGTCTCAATATTTGTTATTCCCATCTGGAAAAAAATATTTTAAAAATTCCAGGGCCACTTGCACAAAGCGATCTTAGCGCTAAGATGATCGTAACTCCCATACTTTAGCATAGGCTTACAATAATCTTAGCGCTAAAATCGCTTGCTGCAAGTGGGCCCAGGTCATTAAAAATCCTTGCTGAAGTCTATCAGGAGGTTATACGAAGAAAAGAATTCTACCTATGGCTTTGTTTTCCCCATCTTATATGATTTCAACACTAAAATACAAAAGTATTCACTTTGAATATGACCCAATAACGATGAATTGAGCTTATGAACACCTGCGCTTTGGGAAAATATACCAAATTTATAACCAGTTTCGAACACTTGAGCAGAAGACTTATGCTTATACAACAGTGTTTTCTTTTTCTTCTGACGGACTTCTGAGCTGAGCATACTTAAGAGAAAAATAATAATATGGATGAGTGAACTGGAGTTATCTCCCTTTTAAGATAATAATGGCTACTATTGAACTATTGTAATTAACACAATAGGGAATGTGTATGGTTACCATGGTTACAAGTTTGGCAGCTATTCAACAGTTAACAAACAAGGTAACTACCAGACGCTGTGAATCAATATCCACTGTGGTTGTGTGGACTGATGAGTATATTGTGTGATATACAAACTGCAGCCTACCATGACCTGCATGAGATTAGAAATGAAAGCTGTGGTGACCTTACCATGGTTATTGGGAGTATTTTTGTTATTGGCCAAATGTTAAATTAGTCAGGGTCCAGGGTCAACCATTAACAATCTTGAGCAACCTAAAACACTTATAGTTCTTTATTTCTTCAACACATTGACCATTTGGGGGACTCTGATAATATCAAAAGAGTGAGTGAGTGAGTTGGGTTTAACGCCGCTTTTAACTGTATTACAGTTATATCACGGCGTGTCAGCTTAATGTGTGAGGAAAGCCCGAAGTGATGCAGGTCTCAGACGTTTACCTCTACGGTGAAACCCACGAGCACGGGTATAGTGCTGACAAACATTGAAACACAATCGGGGCGAACCAGGATTCGAAACCCACAATCATAGGTTTCTGGCGTGCCTAAGGGACGCAACTCTGCACAGCGAATCGCGGGGCCTTAGGCTGGGCCACCCGTGCCCCCTAATATCAAAAGAACTTTTGACTGAGGAAATATACTTCTATATGTTCTCCATAAAATCAATTACGACAAAAAGATAACTTGTGCAGTTGTGCCGGCTATCATACAATAACAGTCGCTTAACTACTGCGAGATTGGTCGATATATATGCTGACAACCCCAAACCCTAAAACACTCTCCTTGGAATAAAAGGATGTGACAACATTCACTAGTTGTTTGTTTATCTTTGATAGTAGTCACATCCTTTTATTCCAAAATTATAAAAAAAAACCAAATAACTAGAGAATGTTGTTCTACCTACACAAAATCAAGATAAGAATAGTATTTAAATCTCCAGCTCCAGCAGAAGTGGAAAGGAACAGTGCTCATGTTAATCTTATTCAAAACAATTGTTAAACGGTGACACTGACATTGACATGTTTATAAATGATCTTCCTGTGTAACAGTAATCATAATATGTTCTTGAATAATGTGCCAAATTCCAGTCAGTGAATGCTCATCTTGAACAGAGTCACTTACCTGAAGAGACACCACATGCCACAAATGCTTCAGTGTGGGGCAGGACCCAACAATTGAAAACTGCCAAACTCGGTCACCATGGTCACCCATCCACCCACTCTCCATGACCAATATTGCTTACCACCACCTGATGTGGGAGTGAGTGAGTGAGTATGGTTTTACGCTGCTTTTAGCAATATTCCAGCAATATCACAGCGGGGGACACCAGAAATGGGCTTCACACACCTGATTTGTGACCTGGGCGCTGTGCACAGGACCACTTGCCACCACACAAACAAGAGAAGACCAGAATATCTTTTTTTCACGTTAATACGGTTTGTCAAGAAGAAAGTCACCATGTCTCATTTTCCCTCTACGCCTGCTGTACACTCTAAAGGAGATGTGAAAGTTAGAAAGAGGACCTTTCACATAACACGGTGACAAAAACTGCCAGTCGTGCTAGGCTGGTTTTAAATGAGTAAATTTTGACTTACAATTCTCAAAGAATGTGTCATATTGCATCTGTCATGTGTTCAAACAAGTACACCACATTTCTACAAAGCCAAACAAGAGTTTGGAGTTTCTCAATATGATCATAATCATGTACATGATATTGCCAACTAAACTGACCTCTAAAACACTTGATAATAAATAACTAAACACATCATACATCTTCAACAAACATATAACCAACCCTCCTATAATCCTACCTCCCTGAAAAAACCCCAGTTACACCAGCTGTCTTTAAACAGGATCCTCCTTTTCCGCTTCTCGGACAGGGATCAGTTTCTCCACACTACCCCTACTGCTGCTTGACCTGTCCGTGCTGCTGTAGCCACTGGACTTGCCACTGTCCACGAGGTTGATATGCTCCAGACTGTCTGGGCGCCGGTTCCGGGTCTCTGTCTTTGGTTCTGTGTCTTTGTGAGACTTGGAGGCTTGGACGGTAACTCTGCCATCTTCAAACCCCTTTTTCCCTGGTTGGAAGATCACTTCTGTGTCCTTGAGATTCTTGCCAAACCATACCGCCGTGCTGCTGCGGTTGTTAGCATCCTGTTTGATGCTGATGAAAGAGACCAAAATGAGCATAATTATACATAAGGATTATAAATAGTACTGTTTTAGTTGTTAATCTCTCATTAGATCAGACTCCGGATAAAAAATATTAGTCTTGATTCTCAGGCACCGCCAGCATTATCATAAAGTTTGCCACACGTTTTGTTTTTATTTCTATTTTGAAAAAAACCAACCCAAAAATCCTTAAATATTCCAAGTCCAATGGTAGTCAAATACTGTATTACAGCAGAGCTCCAGATAAGCTGCGTATCTGCGTAAAATACGCATCAGAAATGCAGAAATACGCAGTAAAATAAAATCCAAGCGTACCAAATACGCAACGAACATTACAGATACGCTACAAAAATAAAACTTGTGCGTATCATCAAAATATTGTGAAGTAACCCTGCGTATTCGATTAGCAAATCAGCAACTTATTTTGAAACTATTAACGGACATTTCGTCAACCTTGCCAAACTCCACGATGACAGTTACATCATGGTCATTTGCCATCACACTTTCTTGTGTAAGTATCGTGGTAGTTTTGAGTCCTATAAAGCTCTCGAACCCACACGACACCAGTTTGCATGGACTAGATGAATAGTGTTTTTAAATTTTAACTTTAATACCCACATGTGTAAAAACTAGTGGGTAACAGAAATTTGAATACCCAGATAGAATTACTGATACCCAATGATTTTAAAATGCATGCGTAAAATACCCACAACACCAAAAGCTTATCTGGAGCTCTGATTACAGTATTTTTCTCATCAAGGAATACATTTATTTGGGGAGGCCCTTTCCCATGTTGATTGTACACAACTGTTTATTTGGTTACACAACTGTTTATCTGGTTACATACTAGTGTGAAATCTATTTTTAAAAAGAAATCACTGCCTGCCTGCACTATATTTTCAAAAGACTTTGCCTGGGAACCAATTCTTGTATTTTTTGAAGCATTACTAGAACATATTAACTTAGTTAGGATTGGACTAACTTTTGAAAAAGTGCAAAACATTTATCAATAATGCCTTGTTTGGAAAATTGGTTTGATTAATGACAGGTCCATGAAGGTAATAAACTTCCAGAATTATTAAATTTAGTATTAACTGATAAACCGACATATTATTTACATGATATATTGATACTAAAATTTCCAGTCAATGTCATCCCTATGTGCCTACTGTTTTCAACAGCTACTTACAGGCGAATCACCTGGTCCAGCAGCTCCATGTAGTTGACGAACTGCTCTCCTTCAAACACCTGTAACATACAACACAGCCCCCTTCGTCAAACACCTGTAACACACATCACAGCCCCCTTCGTCAAACACCTGTAATATACAACACAGCCCCCTTCGCCAAACACCTGTAACATACAACACTGTAACATACAACACAGCCCCCTTCGTCAAACACCTGTAACATACAACACCGTGACGTACAACATCGCCCCCTTCATCAGGCACCTGTAAAGTACAACACTGTGACATACAACACTGCCCCCTTCATCAAACACCTGTAACATACAACACTGTAACATACAACACAGCCCCCTTCGTCAAACACCTGTAACATACAACACCTTGACGTACAACATCGCCCCCTTCATCAGGCACCTGTAAAGTACAACACTGTGACATACAACACTGCCCCCTTCATGAAACACCTGTAACATACAACACCGTGACGTACAAAACTGTCCCCTTCAAACACTTGTAACATATAACACTGTGACGTACAACGTTCAACTGTGATGTACAACACTGCCCCCTTCATCAAACATCTGTTACATACAACACCACCCCCTTCAAACACCTGTAACATACAACACTGTGATGTACAACACTGCCCCCTTCATCAAACACCTGTAACATACAACACTGCCCCCTTCAAACACCTGTAGCATACAACACTGTGATGTACAACACTGTCCCCTTCATCAAACACCTGTAACATACAACACCACCCCCTTCAAACACCTGTAACATACAACACTGTGATGTACAACACCACCCCCTTCATCAAACACCTGTAACATACAACACTGCCCCCTTCAAACACCTGTAACATACAACACTGTGATGTACAACACCACCCCCTTCAAACACCTGTAACATACAACACTGTGATGTACAACACTGCCCCCTTCATCAAACACCTGTAACATACAACACTGCCCCCTTCAAACACCTGTAGCATACAACACTGTGATGTACAACACTGTCCCCTTCATCAAACACCTGTAACATACAACACCACCCCCTTCAAACACCTGTAACATACAACACTGTGATGTACAACACTGCCCCCTTCAAACACCTGTAACATACAACACTGTCCCCTTCAAACACCTGTAACATACAACACTGCCCCCTTCAAACACCTGTAACATACAACACTGTCCCCTTCAAACACCTGTAACATACAACACTGTCCCCTTCAAACACCTGTAACATACAACACTGTCCCCTTCAAACACCTGTAACATACAACACTGTCCCCTTCAAACACCTGTAACATACAACACTGTCCCCTTCAAACACCTGCAACACAACACTGTCCCCTTCAAACACCTGTAACATACAACACTGCCCCTTCAAACACCTGTAACACAACACTGTCCCCTTTAAACACCTGTAACATACAACACTGCCCCCTTCAAACACCTGTAACATACAACACTGTCCCCTTCAAACACCTGTAGCATACAACACTGTCCCCTTCAAACACCTGTAACATACAACACTGTCCCCTTCAAACACCTGTAACATACAACACTGTCCCCTTCAAACACCTGTAACACAACACTGTCCCCTTCAAACACCTGTAACATACAACACTGTCCCCTTCAAACACCTGTAACATACAACACTGTCCCCTTCAAACACCTGTAACATACAACACTGTCCCCTTCAAACACCTGTAACATACAACACTGCCCCTTCAAACACCTGTAACACAACACTGTCCCATTTAAACACCTGTAACATACAACACTGCCCCCTTCAAACACCTGTAACATACAACACTGTCCCCTTCAAACACCTGTAACACAACACTGTCCCCTTCAAACACCTGTAACACAACACTGTCCCATTTAAACACCTGTAACATACAACACTGCCCCCTTCAAACACCTGTAACATACAACACTGTCCCCTTCAAACACCTGTAACACAACACTGTCCCCTTCAAACACCTGTAACACAACACTGTCCCGTTCAAACACCTGTAACATACAACACTGCCCCCTTCAAACACCTGTAACATACAACACTGTCCCCTTCAAACACCTGTAACACAACACTGTCCCCTTCAAACACCTGTAACACAACACTGTCCCATTTAAACACCTGTAACATACAACACTGCCCCCTTCAAACACCTGTAACATACAACACTGTCCCCTTCAAACACCTGTAACATACAACACTGCCCCCTTCAAACACCTGTAACATACAACACTGTGATGTACAACACCACCCCCTTCAAACACCTGTAACATACAACACTGTGATGTACAACACTGCCCCCTTCATCAAACACCTGTAACATACAACACTGCCCCCTTCAAACACCTGTAGCATACAACACTGTGATGTACAACACTGTCCCCTTCATCAAACACCTGTAACATACAACACCACCCCCTTCAAACACCTGTAACATACAACACTGTGATGTACAACACTGCCCCCTTCAAACACCTGTAACATACAACACTGTCCCCTTCAAACACCTGTAACATACAACACTGCCCCCTTCAAACACCTGTAACATACAACACTGTCCCCTTCAAACACCTGTAACATACAACACTGTCCCCTTCAAACACCTGTAACATACAACACTGTCCCCTTCAAACACCTGTAACATACAACACTGTCCCCTTCAAACACCTGTAACATACAACACTGTCCCCTTCAAACACCTGCAACACAACACTGTCCCCTTCAAACACCTGTAACATACAACACTGCCCCTTCAAACACCTGTAACACAACACTGTCCCCTTTAAACACCTGTAACATACAACACTGCCCCTTCAAACACCTGTAACATACAACACTGTCCCCTTCAAACACCTGTAGCATACAACACTGTCCCCTTCAAACACCTGTAACATACAACACTGTCCCCTTCAAACACCTGTAACATACAACACTGTCCCCTTCAAACACCTGTAACACAACACTGTCCCCTTCAAACACCTGTAACATACAACACTGTCCCCTTCAAACACCTGTAACATACAACACTGTCCCCTTCAAACACCTGTAACATACAACACTGTCCCCTTCAAACACCTGTAACATACAACACTGCCCCTTCAAACACCTGTAACACAACACTGTCCCATTTAAACACCTGTAACATACAACACTGCCCCCTTCAAACACCTGTAACATACAACACTGTCCCCTTCAAACACCTGTAACACAACACTGTCCCCTTCAAACACCTGTAACACAACACTGTCCCGTTCAAACACCTGTAACATACAACACTGTCCCGTTCAAACACCTGTAACATATAACACCGCTCTCCTTGTAACACCAGTAAGCTGTTATGTGTCAGGAACAGAAGGTCCTAGTTTGCTACTTACAGCTGGGTCATGCCTGGCCTGTACATAGCCGTCGGAGAAGCGGTGGATGATGTCCGACTTATGGGCGGGTCCTGTGATGGCTGAAGGACACAGGGAGAACAGGTACTGTCGGATAGTCTGTGTCGGGTGTCGCACCTCCATCGTTGGCTCGTTCTCTCGCAGACTCTCGACTGTGGAGGGAGGGAATACAAGTGTCAGAGAGGGTGTGGGTCCCGTGGTCTCACCTCTATCATCATGGAGGCGTAAAACAATCACTGTAGGATCAAAACTTTAAGAGGGACGGGTACCATTTCAAGAAAACAAAATAGGCAGGTGTTATGAAAACAGGTATTTTTCTGCAAGAAACAGAGTGTTATATGCTACTTTCAGCAATATTCCAGCAAAATCATTGTAGGGGACACCAGAAATGGGCTTCAAACATTGCCCCACAGGGGAATCGAATCCTGGCCTTCAGTGTAATGAGCCATTGCTCTTCTACTTACTTGCATTTGTGTAAGCATCAAGAGCCTTCATTCTGTAGTAGTAATGATTGGGAACTGAAAAGAAAAAAAATATTTGTGAAAAAACGTGACAAGCTAGTTATTATCAATATTCTAACACAACATATAATGGAATACAGTCACAATAATTTACATGACCAATATGTGGCAGGTTGAAAGTAATTGAATCAATGAATGTTAATATTTAAGTTAAACATGTCAAAGTAAAAATATAAATGTGACAATACTGGTCTTCCACAGCTGTTTCCATATTTTGTATAATGAGACAGCTACTTATCGAAACAGACATTTTGGTATGAACAATAGGGTGTGTGTTGTAAAGACTCAAATATGTCGGTGCATCTTCCTTGTTGAACTAAGCTGGAATTTCTGGGTCTGATCGTAGCCCCACCAGTGGCTATTACGAGTTATGTCCCTTCTATGTCCCTCCTATTGACCAATCAGATTCAACCTCTCATATCACTTTCACTTGCTTCAAACAAAATGGCGGTGCCCAGTCAAGACGAGCTGATCGATAATCATAATCAATATTGTGGTAAAATTGATCTGTATGGGAGTTATAAATGGGATGTCGATTTCGTTACGCAATTTTGATGTAAAATAAAATGGGTCTTACTTTCCGAAGTACATGAAATCATGTGAGAACCTTGATTAAAAACATGAAAAGATTATGAAAATATCTGTTGACCCTAAGTTGACGGTACACAGTCAAGACGATCTGATCACTAATCATAATCCATATTGTGGTAAAATGGATCTGTCTGGGAGTTATGAATGGGAGGTCAATTTTGTTACACGATTTTGATTGAACTATGCATAGACTCATTAGTCCAGCCACAATACATGTATAACTCCATACAAACTGGACTTTTATAGTCAGTTAACTCCCTTGCCTCAGGAAGATGGTGGTGCTCTTAACAGAGGATACACTGAGAACGACAAACCTGAGGAAGCCACAAGCTGGACTCTCTCGGTCAGCAGCATTGGCTCATACATAAGATGCTCCACCCGATCCAGGCGCCGCTTGATCTCCTGTCGCATAATCTAAACAGAAACAAAACGTCACCAGATGAGTCAAGTACAGACATCCCATGACAGAATGCAGATAGTAAAAAGAAAGAAACAAGTTTTCTTTAACTACTTTTGAGTAGTATACTTTATTGAGCATGTTGAGTTTGACCAATAACAATGTCAACATCACAACAGGACTTCTAATACAACATTATTCCCATCATTGTTAATTATTTATATCTATTTGCTACTGAAAAGAAACCTACCTAATGGAGGAGGTATGAAAATCCTTTAATGTCCATTAAATTAGACAAATTTGAAAGTTTTGAAATACCTATTATGAAAGTTTGTGAACATGTTCACATGACTGTCAACTGACCCTACTTTTTTCTTTGTATCAATTGCAAATCTTGACCTTTTGACAATTGCAAAACCACAGACGGAAGTACAAAAACGGATGATGATACAACCTTCGGAGAAATTCTAACTTGGGCAAGTTTGTGTCCTAAACTGAATGTTTCAGCATATGTATTCATGTACTGTTCATATAAAATAAAAAATGCAGGTGAAAAAGAATACATATAACCAGAGAAAAAGTATTTTCTCTTCCCCTATAGATGTGCTTGATAATGTTTACTTTTAGGGTTCGGACAAGTCCAAATTTACTACCCGGGTACCAGACCCCCAATTACCCGACCGTACCCGGGTACCCACTGCAGGTCTCAAGAGTTGGGAACAAAATGTCTGATTGGTAATTGTTTTACCGCAGCCCTGGCTAAAACTTTTCAGATACATGTATCAAACAATCAGATCATGCGTTCACTGAAGTTGACTGAAGCTTTATCTTTACTCAAACATATACAAGTCAAAAGGAATGTGTGCATCGTCAGAAAGAAATGCGAACAATAGCGACTTGGAGTGTAACCACTGAGCTATAGTAAGTTTTTGTCATTAAACAATATATCATGTGGCTAACCACAGGTCCAGGTAGTCCTGTGGTACCCGGGTCCTACTCAGGACCCACCCGACCCGAGTACCCGAGTTACCCGTCCCAGCCCTATGTACCTTCTTTACTTATGGAAATTAGCAAACAGCTTTGACAGGAAGAAAGATTTATATAAAGTTTAGTTTTATTTCCATTTTGTGATTATTTTTTTTAATCCAAGTACTTTGAAAAAAGATTACTGAAATGAGGCATGTGATTAATGACAATGCGATGTACCTTGGGTGCATCTGTTCCAATGTTGACATGGGGTCTTCTTGCAGATTTGAGAGTAAATCTGGTTATCTGACGCTTGGCAAACAGGAACAGTAGGATAAAAACCTTTAAATACAGAAATGATATCATGCAACACCACTGTTCCCCTACCTCATCTTCAATTGGCATAATCATACACAAATGCTAAACATCATCCTGTTCATCATCATGATAATGAAGAAAATCATTAGAATAAATTTAGTTGACATGGTGTCGAAGTTGATTACATTCATTAAAAAAATCAACCCATTTGTCAACAAGTTTAGCATAATCAAACATATGAACGTTGTTTTGAAGGATATTTGCTGGTATCCAGCATTGTCTTCACTGCGCAGCTCGAACTACCATGTTTGAATGCTTTAAAAACATATTCCAAATTTTAACATATTTTTCATTTTGACTTTGACAGCTCAAACACACTGTAGAATTGAAAATGATGAAAAACTTACCAAGCCCCCTGATGATATGAACAGGACTACACTGACAAGTGACAATTCAGCCATGTCCAGAAACTGATAAACATAGTTTGATCATATAAACCATGATCATGATGATGAAGCCAATTATTCAGGGTTGTACTTCATGTCTGCATGCCACACTGAAATGAATATACAAAATAGTAACACCTTTCCATTCAACAAGATTATTAGCCTGTATGATGGCATGGAGACAATTGGAAATAATTATTGTCTAATCTGCTGGTCAAATGTTTACATGGTTGGTACATAAACTGTTTGCATTCTGATCCAAAACCACTGTTAGACATAGTACACCCCAGTGATGATCCGGGTTAGAGTTACGTCTTCAGCAACGCATGCTTGTTGTGAGAGGTGACCAAAGGATCGGGTGGTCATAATATTTTGCTGTGATTTAACTGCTAATTGCACAGTGTTTCACTGTCATATAGGTTCATCACTCATCAATTAGTGTCTAGGTATATGATGACAATTTGTAAATAATTAAGTCTGGACCAGACAATCAAATGACTGACATCATGAGCATCCAAATTTGCAATTGGGATATCAAAACATGCATCAACCAAGTCAGTGAACCTGACAACCTAATCCTGTTAGTCGATTCTTTCAAAAAAGCATACTCGACTCTTATGACAAGTATGGGTTGTTGAAGACAAATTCTAACCCGGATCTTCATGGGTCACCTGGCCAGGTATTTGGCTAGGTTTCACATACTGGCTAACACTATGAGAACAAACCACAATTAACCAATCATGTGAGTTAAACGACATTGTCAGCTGTGTCATGTTTCAGGCAATAATAGTGCAAATTAAATATCATGATAGGTATTGCATCACGACTCAACTTTCGCAATAAAGATCCGCAGTGACAGTGATCAATGCTTACACCTGAATAGTTGCTGTGCTTATAATAAACACAACTTCAACTGATCTATTTTAGGCGAAATCGACTAGTTTCAATACGATGTCTTCACTGTTTCCTCGTTCTGAACGTCCTGTCGTGCCATGTCATATGTGCGAAAAGACATGTATTTGCATACAAAATGTGAATCTGTTGTTTAGTATAACGCCATTTCATACACGGATAATCGGGGCAAAATGACTAAATTTTCGCATCAGCATTTTATGTGATATTTAGTCTGTCAGAGTCGGTGTCAGTTTCCACTGATCATCTGTCGCAGTCAGAGCAATGAAAGCAATGGCAAAGTATCGGTCGGACGTTTAAATTCAATGTTCTAAGCAAATATAAGCAAGAGAAAGATATCCTGTCCTCTTTACAGAATTATGACATATGTCTAATACGTTGTTTCTTCGATTAAGTGGACACTAGCGATAAAAACACATTTACCGGAGAAAAATTAATAACCGGAAATCAATCTCCCGCCATGTTGGTTGTCACTAAAATGAACAATAATGCAAAAGTGGGATCGTAAAGGAAATACAAATAATCCCAATATCGTGTTGGTTCTCATATTCCCCCATCTACCGCTAAACAAAGCTTTATCTATCTGCAGCCTGAGCTAAGATCTGATTTTAATGATATTGCATATTCCCAGAAACGTCAGACATGTGTTGTCTTTCTCTCACGAGTGATCATTTTTATGAAGCCGCCGGGAGATTACACGTATAAGCCATAATTTTTATCTGATTTTAAATTAATTTATATATATGCAGTGTATGAAATAGTTTCCAAAGTTCACTGGCCTAGAGTTGCAAACTCATATTTTGCTAGCCCCAAACACTTCCGATAAACTAAGAAATGAAATCAAAATGACAACATACTTTGACATTAAATGACGCCTGAACTGACTAGAATATTTAACTAGACAGTCGAGACAGCTTTACGAAAATGTTACTAGCCCAATTTAAAAGTCACTGGCATTTGGCTAGCGGGCAAGCATTTATTTGGAACACTGTCTCTATGGATATATCAGATAAATAATAAAACATTTTTAATTTGGAGTGGTGCCAAATTCTTTAATTCAACATATTGTTTTGTGCTGAAAAAGGCATCTAATCTACTTCACTGATACTTGATTTATGGGGTATAATAAGCAACATGTGTCTTGTCGCATATTCTCATCACTAATGTATTAGTACTTAGATATACTGTTTAGTTAAACCACCGTTAGGTATCAACACATCCCGTGCTTGGACTCGAGAAGGAAGCTGGGGCATGGGTGGCCCAGTAGCACAAGGTGCCGACATTTGCTGTACAGAGTTCGGCCCGCTCACGTCCCTCTGTTTGTCAGCGTCCTACGTGCCCATCAATGTTTAAGGGCTCTACAGGCGAACTGCATGAGTTGTTTGTAATTTAAAATGTCACATTCATAGGTATTCAATTATTTCTTGACTTGTAGCTGAAATACAATCGGGAAACACATCGGACAAGAAAGGCATTAATACGTAACTGTCGCCTCTTCCACCCTCACTCAACACCCACATCACCCGATGTCCTGTCTCCATTATGGGAACTCGGACCTCGAAATGACGATATTATTTCAATCTGTTTCATCTCAACACTTATGGTCCTATAAAGCTGATAAATATGTTGTGACGTGATGTAGAAATACATTACAATGTCCTCGACTCATCTCAACAAACTACTATTCATAATACACCCCAAACGTTTGTTTGTTTAACGCCGCACTCAGCAATTTTCCAGCTATATGACGGCGGTCTGTAAGAAATCGAGTCTGGACCAGACAATCCAGCGATTGACATCATGAGCATCGATCCACTCAATTGGGATACGGTGACATGCATCAACCAAGTCAGCGAGCCTGACCACCCGATCCCGTTGTCACCTCTTACAACAAGCATAGTCGTCGTTTACGGCAAGCATGGGTTGCTGAAGATATTCTACCTCGGATCTTCACGGGTCACCTCAAATGTAACCCCGGGGCAGAATATGTTCCAGGTACAACATGCGTGATTCGCGTGGTTGGAAGGTGTGATCTCACTGATTTGTGTGGTACTACAACTACTACCACTACTGCCACTACTCCCTCTACCACCACCATCACTACCAGGATCAGTTCTAAATCAGCGTTTCATATATTTTATTCTTAGTCGGTGTTTTGACAAGTCTCCTATATAGAAGTGAAATGTCATTGGAACTCATAAAGATTTTACAAACGCTTCTATTACTTAAGCTAAATACGTTCTATGTTCCGGACCACGGATTATCGAGTATTGATATGTAGTTATGTCGTTCAGATATTAGGCAGTATTTTGTTCGCTCACAGTTTCCGTAAAGCTTCTTAATAATTTTTTTTGGTCGCACAGTACTTTTATCGGTGTACGATAAAAAGCGGAGAAATTTACTGTTTTTCAACGCAGAATAAATTCTCGGACAACACTTAGGAGTGTCTTTTTTAAAAAACCGGTTTGATATTTACAGTTAAATTTACACTATCAAATAAGAAATTTAATATTCTCCATCTCTGCGTAATTTTATAGCCAGAGGTAGATCCAGTGCAATTCTCGCACAGCCTTCACTTTTCCGATCTTAGGAAAATGTGCGTCAGAAAAAAAACTCGGCATCCAGAGGGTTAACGTCGCGTCCAAGATTATTGCACTTATATAGCGATGTGTGTGTGTGTGTGTGTGTGTGTGTGTGTGTGTGTGTGTGTGTGTGTGTGACTGCTTGTACTAGACCGGACTGGTGCCGATTTTTAGTGCCAGCCAACTGAGATACCATGCCGCAGTTTAACATGAATACCCCACTCATACACAGTACACTGACTCTGAGCCGACCAGTCCTTGTTTTAGCCCCTTAATGCCGAGCGCCAGACAGGGTATCAACAAGTACCATCTTTTAACTTCTTTTGGCATGACGCGGCCAGGGATCGAACCCCGGACCTTCCGCTCTCCGGGCGGACGCTCTACCACTAGACCACGGAGGCGGTCACGTAGAGATGAGGTGAGGTGAGGTGAGGTGAGGTGAGGTGAGGTGAGGTGAGGATTAACGCCGCACCCATGGAGAAACGTGCATGTGTGTGTATATGTATGTGTCGTCTTTTACAAGTTCGAACTGTCAAGCACTGGATTGTCTGGTCCAGACTGGATTATTTACATTATTCCCGAGCGAAAACGTATATAACGAATAACGTCTTCAACGACCACGGAGGGGCTCTTATTTCGTGTCACAATGCTGGAGTAACCAGATGTCATGGGTTGTTGCAAATGTTGGCCACTGCTGATTTGCCGTGATATAGCTGGAATATTGCTGATCCGGGTCCTTAGAAGCCTATACGCTTGTCGATATAAGCGACTTAATGGATCTCGTGGTCAGGCTCGATGACTTAGTTGTCATCCTATCAGCCACTGGTGTACAGACTCGATTATTTACACGGCGCTGTCGTACAGTTAGAACAAGGCAGAATGCAACGTTAAACAAACAGATAATAGGTGGCATTAAAATCCATTCGAATATTTCAAGACCTGTCTCATCTGTCTAACGGCGGAGTGTGGCTTACGGACCAGAGTCTAGTGCCATGGCACATGCAAAACAAACTACAATAAGGTCGGTATATTTCGAGAGAAATATTGACGCTTGTGTGCTTCCGTAGGGTGATGCCTGGACATATTTGTTCATTTCATGTCAGTCTATTTACAGGACCTGCACATGTTTGGTTATAATCAATCCGTATTTAATTAAACTGAGCAGCAGCTATTATTAAAACCGCCGGCTATTGAATCTTTAGACGCGCTGCTTTTCTCTTGGCATATTTAAATACTTTCTATTGTTCTCTGTTCTCCGTGCACGACAATGAGCATTTTGCAGCGTGTTGTCACGAGGTTGACAGAATACCAAAGATCAAACATTTCACCAACGTCTTTGTTTATTGTCTACACATTACAGCCTATATATATATATACATATACAATACATACAACCCACGGGCGCTGATATCGTTATATCTGCCGGCTCCTTAGTCAATATATATGTGCCGTTTTGTATTACTTCCGCTTGTGAAAACTGCAGTGTTATTTGCAATATTTGCCGATTGTCCCCCAAGTCCTTACGGCGATGCCACGATCTCTATCGGGAGAGTAACGGTGATGTATGGCGTGCACATCATCCCATTGTGAAACAGGGTCATAATCGGCCCGAATCTTCGAGATTCGAACCCGTGGTCAGCGGATCCGTACACAGCTAAGGGTCGTTTCTCGGTGCCTAAGGTACAGGTGCACCAGTGACCGATATCGGTTTTGATATACAGGGAAAGTAGATAGTCACCTGCCCTGCCCAGGCGTGTTTACCGCCTTCGTGGTGCAGTGGACAGAGCGTCTGCCCGGAGAGCGGAAGTCGGTGGTTAGATCCCCTGGCCGCGTCATACCAAATGGCATTAAGAGATGGTACTTGTTGTTACACTGCCTTTAGGTGATACACGGACTGTCCGTCTCGGCGTCACTATTAAACTGCAGCTTGCTTTCTCATTGGGCTAGCACTATTAAACCGGACTGGTACAAGCAGCCACACTCACGTATGCACATCGCTATATTGTGTGACGTAAAAGGCGACTAACGGGATCGGGTGGTCAGGCTCGCTGACTTGGTTGATGAATGTCATTGATCCCAATTGCGTGGATCGATGTTCATGATATTAATCACTGGATTGTCTGGTCCAGGCTCGATTATTTACAGACCGATGTCGTATAGCTGGAATATTGCTGAGTGCGGCGTTAAACAACAAACCAACCAACCAACAACTATATATATTGTGTGAGGTTGTTCCCGGTGTTGGACAGCTTCGCCCGAACGCAACTGTCCCCAACAGTAGTGTGTGGCTGCACGTGGAATCATAGACTGTGACGCGTGTTCCGATTTCGATTGTGATCAGTCTCGTTCTTGTCCTTGTCAAGTAAACGTCTTGTGTTCGTACCTCTGTGTTGTATGTTATGTGGGCCCGAAGACCTTACAATGGTTAGATAATAAGAATGCAACATAAACCCTATATTTCACGTCGCCTTGTGTAAACTTGAGAGACAAAATCCCATCACTGTTTGACTAAAGTGTAAACGAGTTGGTTAATAGTTTCTTACTATGTATAAATTACACAAGACGTTTATCAAAACAATCGCTGACAGATATGATATGATTTCAAAAGAGAGTATTCCACGTCATTAAATTAAAAGTAGAGACAAAGAACTGTGGACACAAGTCGTCACCGGTTTATTGTAAAATGTTTAATATTCACATGCTATTGATACAAAAGGGGAACGGGTGGCCCAGTCGTCTAAGGCGCCGCGATTCGCTGTGCAGAGTTACGTCCCTTGGGCACGCCAGAAACCTATGATTGTGGGTTCGAATCCCGGTTCTCCCGGTTTGTCAGCACAATACCTGTGCTCGTGGGTTTCACCGAAGTTGTAAACGTCTGAGACCTGCATCACTTGGGGCTTTCCTCCCACATTAAGCTGACCCGCCGTGATATAACTGGAGTACTGTTAAAAGCGGCGTTGAACCCAACTCACTCACTCACCATTGATACATAAACTCTTTGCCATTGCTTTGACGATATTATTAGGCTTGTAAATGTCAGCTCATATTCGACCGGCTCGTGTCATGGTGACACAGACCTGGTGTAAACTAAAAACATGTTCTAAGTTTATGTTTCCTCGACACATTAGCTGATTCATGTACCGCCCACAAGCAAGGTAGTGTATCAATGGGGACAGACAGACTGCACTCTCTCGCTCACACCATGAATATCACCCCATCCCTGGCTTCAATGATGCCCGATGCAGTTCCCTATTTTGACCATATGTTCCTGTGTTTTTTAAAGTGAACAATTGACTCGCCTTTGCATGTGTGTGTGTGTGACGGGTGCCACCGGTTGGGCAGGATACGTTCACCTTTTCGCAAACACCTGGCCTCAAACACATGTTTATGATATAGTCGGAATCGTAATCGACTCTGCTTTATGCAGAGATGTCTATTAGATATGGGAAGGGTTTTGTCGCTTTATTTACATATATAATATTTGTAATCCCCGACTCTGACACGCCGTATGGGTTAACACAAGGGGATATTATTTGTGGTAATGTATATGTATGGCGTATGGCGTGTCCTTGTCGGGACATGCCATGATGCTTGCCGAAACTCATACGTTGAGGAAACACTGCATCAAAGCCCCCAAAGTAGAAACCACAGTCAAAATGAAGAACATAAGGAGGAACAGTCGGTCCATCACAACTGCCACTTTCTTCCACTCGTCCTCGATATATTCAGCGTCTTCCTTCTCGACGTACCGATTGTTGATCTGCTTAAGGACCGCTAGCTGTTCTTCCATCACTTTGTTCAAGGGAGACGATCGCATGCAGTCGTGTTCTTCAGACTTTAGAGAGTCATTTAGCTCTGATCCATTTTGGTTTTTCTTACTGGAAACGCCCTGAAACAACATCCAATATTAAAGGTTGATAACTGTGGTTGTAAATAACTCTCATTTGTGATAGTATGTAGGTTTTGTTGTGGTTTAGTGCACGCAGCAGTATTTCAGGTATATGACGGCGTCATGTAAATAATCGTGTCTCGAGTAGACAATCCAGTTAATTGATATTGTGAGCAGCCCCACGCCCTTGGGATACGATGACAAGCAATCAAACCAAGCGTCCGAGCCTGACCACCCGGTCCATTTGGTCGCCTCTTACAACAATCCGGGTACCAATTTTAACATTGAATAACCAAGGGGAGGCGATACACAAGCACTTCAGGTAGTACAGGTGGAAGGCCCCGAGGGACGAAGGTAGTGACTGTTTGTAAGAACTAGTTTATTTGTAAAGGAAACTATATTGGCCCAGGAAAATGGCCACGAAGGCACAGCCAAGTTGAATAGAATAAGTTTGTTTGTTTGTTCTTATACGCCGCACTCAGCAATATTCCAGCTATATGACGGCGGTCTGTAAATAATCGAGTATGGATCAGACAATCCAGTGATTGACACCATGAGCATCGATCCACGCAATTGGTGGTGAGGTGAGGTGAAATGGGGTTTAACGTCGCGTCCAAGATTATTGCACTTATATAGCGACGTGTGTGTGCGTGCGTGCGTGCGTGCGTGCGTGCGTGCGTGTGCTTGTACTAGTCCGGACTCATGCCGATTTAAAGTGCTAGCTTACTGAGATACCATGCCACAGTTTAACATGAATACCCCACTCAGACACAGTATACTGACTCCGAGCCGACCAGTCCTTGTTTTATCCCCTTAATGCAGGGTAACAACAAGTACCATCTTTTAACGTCTTTTGGTATGACGCGGCCGGGGATCTTCCGCTCTCCGGGCGGACGCTCTACCACTAGACCACGGCGGCGGTCCACGCAATTGAGATACGATGACATGCATCAACCAAGTCAGCGAGCCTGACACCCAATCCCCGTCAGTCGCCTCTTACGACAAGCATAGTCGCTTTTTACGGCAAGCATGGGTTGCTGAAGACCTTTTCTACCCCGGATCTTCACGGGTCGAATAGAATAAATAAACACATCTCTATACTATCGGAGATTATTACCGTTTGTAGCTTAGACGTAGACTTAGTCAAACCCGCAAACTTGCGATAAAGTTCAGGGTCACACTTGGAGGAGACCTTCGCGGGACGATGTTGTGGTTCATCCTTCGCACACAGGCACTGCGCAAGAGTCCCAAGAAACAGGCTCCTCACCCACCGAGGAACACGGACACTATTCTGACCCTTGTAATGCACGTTCAGCACGATTACTGTGAGGACCGTGGACAGGGTCACCAGCGCCATAGACAGGCAGAAGTAGATTCCTGTGGAGGACAAAAGACATGCTATAGTGATCTGGGGGGGGGGGGGGGGGGGGGGGGGGGGGGTTGGGGATTCGAAACCACACTCCTAGAGTGAGGCACCCAATCGACAACCCTCAAAGTCAGCGATCTCACCCACTCAGCCACCGAGGCTTCCACAAAAATGAAAGTCCGGCAACTGGTAGTCTAGTTCACGTACTCTGTGTACCCTTCTGACAGATTGGCAGAGTTCGACGGGCTAAATTCACACATTCAATTCACAAACTGCTTATACGTCAAGCCAATTATATCGAGAACACGTGCTGTCTCCTTAGGCAAGTAACTTAATTCGAAATGTGCTTCTGTTCAGCCGGTTTGTATACTCCCCATGGAGGTGAGAATGAAAATCAAGTAGATACTGATCCGTTGACCGGGTAAAAATGTAGCACGCTTAAGGGCGTAGATTTGGCGTCTTATTAATATACACATTATAAATATGTATTATCTAGCGAATGGGATTTTGGGAACATACCTAAATAAGGGAAGTTGTCAGACGTTGGCGGCAACGTATCAGATACCACCAGCATGAACACAGACAGCGATAGCAACACTGTGATCTCCAGCGACACCTTCTCCCCGGCGTCTGGGGGTAGTATAAAGCCCAGCAGAGCTACAGCAGAGATCAAAATACACGGAAACAGCAGGTTCAGCAAGTAGAAGAACGGCTTGCGTCGTAGATTGACGTAGAACGTCACGTCAGGATAGGGTTCCGGGCAGCAACCATAGTACAGCTCATGTCGTTCCACGGGAACACTCACCAAGTCCCACTCGCTGTTGACTTTGAAGCTGGACATGTCCCCGGCGCTGTCTCTGTTAGTGGAGTTGATCTGAAATCCGTTGAAGGCCCAAGAGCCGAAGCGTAGGGCGCAGGATTGTCTGTCGAAGGGGAAGTAGGTGACGTCGACTTTGCAGAGGCTGGTTATGATTGTGGGGAAGTTGTAGCTGGCAGAACCGTCTGAGTTGAAGGTAGGGCGGTAGTCCTTGAGTCCAACAAGTTCGTCATCGGCGCTGGATGATAGTGTAAATGAGGCATTATTAGATCAGTACAGGTAATACAATGGATAGACATGCTGCAAGGAACATTGTTTGTTGTGTAACGCCGCACTAAGCAATTTCTACAGCTTATGACGGCGGTCTGTTAATAATCGAGTCTGGACCAGGCAATCCAGTGATGGATATCATGGGCATCGATCCCCGCAATTGCGATACGATGACATGCATCAACTAGGTCCGCGAGTCTGACCACCAGATCTCGTTAGTCGCCTCGAGCGACAAGTATGGGTTGCTGAAGGCCTATTCACAATTTTGCAGTTCAAGTTTAAGGAGGAAGAGAAAAGAGAAAAAGGGGTGAAGTATAATCGACTCACTTGTCATATAGAGTAATATCCGGTGTCCATACTTTCGTATAGGGGAGGATAAGCTGTGAGATGCCCCCATATTCAGTGGCGTTCCACGTCATCTGACAGTCGTACCAGTTCTACAACACAAACATACAGACATGACTGAAAAGCAAATAAGGCTTAGAAGGTTATTGCTGTTAGTGTTGTCTATGTAGATCATGTATGTGGAGGGGCACAGACGGAATTCCCTTCTGAACAGATACGATTCGTCTGTGCCACAGGTTTTGTGTGTTTGTTTGGTGTTCAACGCTGCACTCGGCAATATTCCTGTTAGGTGACGGCGGCCTGTGATTAACATCATGGGCATCGATCTACGTAATTGGGATACGATGACATGCATCAACCAAGTCAGCAAGCCTGACCACCCGATCCCGTTAGTCGCCTTTTACGACAAGCATGGGTTGCTGAAGACCTATTCTACCCTGGATCTTCACGGGTCTGTTCCACAGGTTTGACTATGTAATATCTTCCAGTACTTGAAACAGTTTGAAAAATGTGTACACACTAGGATGATTTAAAATAAGCAAAATAATTCGACTCGGAAGGTACTGGTCAATTACACCTTGCTTCGGGTTGTGCACAAAAACAAACTTGTTCGCTAGACGCGCCAGATTCCTGAAGCAAAGGTGAAGTTTAAAAAGATGAAGTTGGACTCTTGTTATCAGAGATACCTCCCCAACAAGATGAAATGTTCGGAAAAGAAAAGTAATATCGGGAGGTGATGAGTGAGTGAGTTGGGTTGAACGCCGCTTTTAACATTATTCCAGTTATATCACGGCGTGTCAGCTTAATGTGGGAGGAAAGCCCGAAGTGATGCAGGCCTCAGGCGTTTACCACTTCGGTGAAACCCACGAGCACAGGTATGGTGCTGACAAACCTAGAAAAATAATCGGGGCGACCTGGGATTCGAACCCACAATAATAGGTTTCTGGTGTGCCAAAGGGGCGCAACTCTGCACAGCGAATCGCGGCGCCTTAGACGACTGGCCCACCCGTGCCCCCGGGAGGTGATGGGTTTGGCATTAAACGTCAAGGCCAGAGAACAACCAGTCTCACAATTCGCCTAAACAGATTCCACCGGGCGCAAAGGGCAAAACAGTGATGAAAAACACACGAATGGGTCACCGAAACCGAGCGACGACACCAGGTATTCGCGAAAAGGGTAAGCATGTTCTTTCATACCAGAAGCACCCGCCACTCTCACAATTTACTAAAAATCCAGACAATCATGAAGTTCCAGTGACACAACAGGGCATTTACTAATATTGTTGAACCTAAAAATATGTTAAATTAGAATAAAGTCTGCTGTGTAGCTTGAAGAAAATATTCATAATAACACAAGTATACTGAACAACAAAAGTTCCTGTGACACTGAATAAGATTTAATGCAAAGTTATGTTTTTTACCAAATCTGAAACAATTTCGGTTTTCAAAAAGACTCCTGTGTTCAAATGGTTTAATTTGCTATACTGACTTCAGAAAATGCGTGATTTCATAAAAAGACCCCATGAACATGACAAAATGTCAATTTACAAATCAATAGCGTGTGTGTCCACCTCTGGTTGCGATGCAAGCAACACATCTTCGTCTCATGGAATGCACCAGGCGTCGCACAAAGTCCTGTGGAATATCTGTCCATATCTGCTGAATCATGTTTCGAAGTTCCTGGCGTGTCTGTTGAACACGTGGTTGACGTCGAAGGCGCCGATCCATCTCATCCCACATGTGATCGATTGATGAGAGATCAGGGGAGCGAGCCGGCCATGGGATGACATTCACGTTGTTTTGTTGAAGAGAATCCTGAACAAGTCGAGCAATATGGGCCGGGCGTTGTCATATTGAAAGGTAATGCCTGGGCCATGACGACGCAAACACGGTAGAACAACAGGGCCGGTGATCTCGTCGCGGGAGCGCTGTCCATTGAGTTTTTCCTCTACCACTATCAAACGGGTCCTCTGTCTTGCTGTAATCCCACTCCATACCATAACGCTGCCGCCCCCGAACCGATCTTCTTCCATGACACATTGATTGGCGTAACGTTCACAAGGACGTCGGTACACTCGAATCCGTCCATCGCTGTGGCTGAGGTGAAAACGAGACTCGTCAGTGAATAGAACTTGTCCCCACTGCATGGCCGTCCAGCATAGACGCTGTCTGTGCCACTGTAGACGTGTTTGACGGTGGTGGTTTCCTGTCCAAATGGGACGTCTGGCGGGTCTTCTGGCGACAATCCCTGCATATCCTAGGCGAGGACGTACGGTTTGTGAAGCTATTCGTCGAAGGCCAGGGATGCTTCTTGCAGTCACTGTTGCTGGCTGGAATCGATTTCTTAGGTGTGTTGTTCGAATCCATTTGTCTTGTCGATTATTGGTTACGCGTGGCCTGCCAGTCAGAGGATGGTCTCTGACTGCATTCGTCTGTTGCCAACGTTGCCATAAACACCAAATGGTGTTTCTGTGGACGTTAAATTGTCTTGCAACATCACGTTGACTCGATCCTGCTTCAAGCATACCAATGGCTCGCAGACTCTCATTTTCGGACAGGCGTGGCATTTCGTAATGTTGAATAATTTCGTAATTTTGTTGTTTTTCTAAGTGGTTGTTGTCAGCACGATGCTAAACAATGCATATGGAATCCCGTTAACGTACAAGTTTTATTACCCATTCTTGGGTAGTGAAATGTATGGGGCTTGCAACTTTTGCATGGCATGCATGCTTTTCTGTAGCAGTTGCGTTTTTGTGACTTGATTCCATACAATGTACTACAATAATGAAAACCAAACTTTACTTGTTTAATAACACTAAAATATTGGTGTCACAGGAACTTTTGTTGTTGAGTATATTTTTTCAATATTTTGGAGACAATTTATTTCTTCCATTTTTTCCAAATTATTCTTATAAAGCCCATGCAAGCCATATAAAGCCCATGCAAACTTTACTTGTTTGAAAAATACACTAAAATATTTGTCACAGGAACTTTTGAGTATAACATAAACATGACAGAACTTACCAAACGAATCCAGGCGTTGGCTGTCAATATTTGATGAGGTTCATCCTGGAAAACAGCAATTGACATACTTGATGCTCAAAGCTAAGGGGTCAGTCGAAGTGTATTTCAAAGGTTTCAATGTTAGAAGTTTGTAGTAAAGTTCTGAGGAAGTACTTATTTTTTAAGTTATTGATTGGAAAATATGTGTGTCTTAAAATATTATAAGTTGGGCATACTAACAAAAAATGTAAATCATCTCCTATAATATTTTTACAAGGAGGACAAAATCTAAGGTTTCTAGGTACCCCCTCCCGCCTACCTATAATTTAAAAAAAAATCTTTTTCAGATAATGTTCAAAGAACATGGGATTTGAAAAAACAACAGCCCTGTAAATATGTTAACCTGGATTTGGCGTTGCATTGGGATTCGATTACCAGAAATGTATGGTCGTGTACAAGTGTGTGAAATTGCCATTTTCATCCTTCTGATAGTTTGTTGATGCATTCAGACTTGGGGTAAATGAAAGATTGATACTTGTTGATTGTATTGTGTTCATAATACACTACTGCTTAGCCCTATCTATAGATGGAATGATGGGCCCTATCTATAGATGGAATGATGGTCAAGGCGAGAGGTTACAAACTCTTCTCTGCATTGTCTCTTGAATATGAAAAAAATGATTCCTAAATGTGATAATTTCTTATATGATGATATTTTCAGATCAATGTGACTTAATAATGTATTTCAAAGAATAATGAATTTTCTATAAATTAGATAGTGTATTCAAAGTTATATGAAATGATTGACAGTTTGTCTGCTTACCAGTTCAATGACCTGTCTTATGGCAATGCCAATTTTTAACTCTATGGGAGCGTCTGTTCCACAATTTGGCCGCGCATAACTGATATAATTTGCAAACAGCTTGTCCATCAGTGCAGTCTGGTTGCCATGGGTAACTGTCACTGCAGGAAAGAGTATACATTGTGAAGAATATTGAACGTAAATGCAATGGTAAAAAAGCGTCCAGTATATGCCTCCACACCTTGATGAAGGAATGGTCTATTTTGGCTCTAAATTCTAATGGGGCAATATACTACTACATGATCAGATAAATGTATTGCATTTGGCACGCCAGAAACCTATGATTGTGGGTTCGAATCCCGGTTCGCCACGATTGTTTCTAACTTTGTCATCATACCCGTGCTCGTGGGTTTCGACGAAGTATTAAACGTCTGAGACCTGCATCACTTTTGGATTTCCTCCAACATTAAGCTGACACGCCGTGACATAACTGCAATAATGTTAAAGCGGCGTTAAACTCAACACACTCATTGTTATTGATGATCAGGCAAAATTAGACACGGGGGACACATTTGTCGCAAATATTTATATGAAGATACAATATTGACGAATACGGACGGATACAGGTATGCCGTAAGTCACCCGCACTGACTATTACATAACACGGGACTATAGGAATGAAGTAGAAACAAGGTTGCCGTTTTCGGAAAGAATGTTTTATTTCTCGTTTTCGGTGTCGTCGTTTTTGTTTGTTGCAGTACCCAACGAAAATTGCCAATCCGTATCTAAAATTGAAGTCATCTAGGTACCGGTTTTGGAGCATTTGTACGTTATTTGGTTAAGTCGCCAGTACCCAAATGTGGAGTACCCGAGCTAAAATTTGGAGAACCGTACCCAATTTGGGGGGACTCATACGCATTTATTTTTTTAAAGCGACATGTCCCAAACGAGATTGCTCTAATCCGTATAAACCGATAATATATATAAACGATAAAATATATATGTTTCTAATAATTTATTCAGGAGTAAATTCTCATATATTCTGACCCGCAATATAATCATGAAACTATTACATCTTCAAGACCCGTGAAGATCCCGGGGTAGAATAGGTCTTCAGCAACCCATACTTGCCGTAAAAGGCGACTATGCTTGTCGTAAAAGGCGACTAACGGGATCGGGTGGTCAGGCTCGCTGACTTGATTGATACATGTCATCGATCCCAATTGCGTGGGTCGATGCTCATGATGTCAATCAGTGGATTGTCTGGTCCAGACTCGATTATTTTACAGACCGCCGTCATATAGCTGGAATATTGCTGAGTGCGGCGTTAACCAACAAACAAACAAAACATTTTCAAAATCCACTCATTTCACATTTCCGACATTTATTCATCACACACATTTCCAACATTTATTCATCACACACATTTCCAACATTTATTCATCACACACATTTCCAACTTTTATTCATCACACATTTCCAACGTTTGTTCATCAGCTCAATCAATGCAATGTGATGATGAATGACTACTAATCAGTCATTGCCTCTTTGATATACAAGTAACATTAGGGTTATATAAACTGAGTTAACTCAATAGGCGATGGTGGCATATTGTTGTTCTAGTAATTCTACCATTAAGTTCTTCGAAGTCGGTCGGTGTAACAAGACGTTTACACAGTCCGTGATTGGAAGACTCATGTGTTGTTATAGGAAATGGCATTGTGTTTTCACAACAAAGTCTAAGTTAAAACATGTTTAATCCGATTAATGTTCAATGTTTCAAATCATATAATATATTTTCATGGGCACGGATTCGCTTTTTTGGTTACGAGTTATCCAGGTGATCAGGTACGGATGATCCAACATTTGGGTACGGGACGGTGTCTGGTTCAGATCTCCCTGTTTAGGGATCTCCCTGGGTACGGACCTCCCTGGGTACTGATCTCCCTGGGTACGGATCTCCCTGGGTACGGATCTCCCTGGGTACTGATCTCCCTGGGTACGGATCTCCCTGGGAACTGATCTCCTTGGGTACGGATCTCCCTGGGTACTGATCTCCCTGGATACGGATCTCCCTGGGTACTGATCTCCCTGGGTACGGATCTCCCTGGGTACTGATCTCCCTGGGTACGGATCTCCCTGGGTACGGATCTCTCTGGGTACGGCTATCTCTTAGCGGCTATCTATTAATGCTAATCAGTAACCAGGAAGTGCACACTTCGTAAACAATTTCAATTTACTCGGAATGTTCCGTCTGCTGTAAGTAAGGAGTGATTAATCCGTTGATACATATTTCTGGCATCTGTTGTAATATTGCCTTACCCCCATCTATCAATGGCCAACGATATAACCCGCAGTTCCCCAAGTAAACTTTCTCTATCGACCTGAACTAGATCATCTGCATATTCATGGCGACTAATGAGGTAACGGAAGTTACGTATTCCGCACATTTTTTCCCGCTCTGTGCCCAGAATCTATTGGGAGATCATACGAGCCATAATGCCAAACTTAGAAATACGTTCTTCACTAGTAACCAAAAGATAAATACATACTTTGGGCATACTAGGAGTCTGATATTTTGATGATGACTTATAAAAATATTTTTCTCTTACTTTTCGGTAAATATGCATTGAATACCTATTGCTGATAACACATTTAGAATTTTACTTGTGCTGTCTTTGCACTTGTCTGGACAAATCACTGATGTCTGGCATGATCATACCAAGTGGTTGGTAGAATTATGTCCTCTTTTTGTCCAATTCGGACCCCCATACACAACTTTTCTCTGTACCGCGATACGATGGAGTTCTCTCCCTTGTCAAACAGAGCACGAGGCCCTGCTTTTACTCGGAGCTACTAATGTAAATAATGAACTTTTATCAGTAAAATATGCATTGTTTGATAAAATAAATGATATCTGATATGGAGAACACGAATAATCATAAAGGTTAGTGAGTGCATTTTGTTTCGATTAGCGTACATGACAAGTATCGCGATACCCCGAGGTTGCAGGCTAATACCAGTATGTATCCATGTACCAACAAAAGAAACCATAGAGCCAGGTAATTATGTATTAATGTAAGAATGTATCAACTATGTCATATGTATCCATGTACCAACAAAAGAAACCATAGAGCCAGGTAATTATGTATTAATGTAAGAATGTATCAACTATGTCATATGTATCCATGTACCAACAAACGAAACCATAGAGCCAGGTAATTATGTATTAATGTAAGAATGTATCAACTATGTCATATGTATCCATGTACCAACAAAAGAAACCATAGAGCCAGGTAATTATGTATTAATGTAAGAATGTATCAACTATGTAATGTGTATCCATGTACCACGGTGAGTGTTTTAAAAAAACAAAACTTTGACTTGAAAAAAGTCGAGAGCAAAAACAAACCTTGACAGCGTGAATTAGCGTTTCCAGCCTAACTAAAACACTTTACTGATCACAAACATCTGGCAGAAGAGGAGTAAACGTTTCGCGTTCGCTTTGTTAAGATGTACAGAAGAATTTATTACCAAGCTATGGACAGCACAACATATGTTTATACAACTTTCAATGCTTATCGTTAACAAAATACAGAAAAGTACGTACCTAACGTTCCGAAGAATGCGACAATGATTATTCCCAGGCTAGCCATTTCGGTAAACTTTCCAATGAATCACAGTCTGTTGCCCAGTTTCATAGTCCTGTCAGTTTCCTGAGATTATTCAGAAAATTGTTTCAGTAAGTAAGCAATTTGGGACCTCGTGCCCTATTCCGGACCTATATCGCGCAGGTTTGTGCAAAAACGGGGTTCCCTTTCTTATATGATCGATTTAACGATACCTTCCGGTTAATCCAATTGTAACAACGAATTACCGTACCCCAGTAACCAATTACAAATACCAGAAAAAATAATTGTCGCGCCAGCAAGGCATTAGGTAGCCGTTTTTCTTTGTTTGAAACATTGATCTATTGTCTATGAGTTCATTGTTATGCAACTGCAGTATACATTTAAGTGTTACGCAACGAATGGTATACAATTAAGTGTTGTGCAAAGAATGGTGTACAATTAAAGCAAGAGGTATAAATAGCTCTATTGCCCTTGCCGCGAGCTAATCCCAAACCACAATCTCTTCAATCTGTGAAGAGTATTCTTATCTCAACAATAGTGTTTAATAATTAGTGCACAAACAGGTTTGGGGACAAGGAAACGCGGGGCCGCCAATGACCAACTGATGTTGTATGGCCTCCAGCGCCTTTAGCCGCCTTAGTGTGCGAAACCTGTTTGAAAGTACTGTTGCTTGGACGTTCACACTTGGTGTTAGTTTTAAAAATATATATGAGAAAGTGCCCTTTCTTGGGCGAAAGAGAAGATGAAATATTTTTTTCCTGATAGACTGTCCCATGTATGAGGATATTCGGTTTAATCACATAAACAATATCGAAAGTGTAAATAACTTGACGAAACTGTCTCCAGTTGGAAAATTAGTATTCTTCATGCGGTGTAAATACATGGAGTAATGTCTTGCCGATTATTTACAATGTTTCGTCGCCGGAGATCTCTAATGTGTTGATTATAGTCAGAATACAAAAGTTTGGTTTAATCATATTGTGTTACATTAATCTGCTATACTGAAGGGGTACAAAAGCCTGATTTTATGGTGTTGTTGAAAAAAATATTGTATTCTTTTAAATGTTTTTTTTTATGCATTTCAAATGTATTGATTCTTAATGTGAAACTTCTCTCTTCATTGTATGGCGGAAATATTGCAATTTTACGACGTTAAATTTTAATTCACTCCCGCTTCTTTAATACGACCCGTGAAGATTCCGGGGTAGAATAGGTCTTCAGCAACCCATGCTTGCCGTAAAAAGCGACTATGCTTGTCGTAAAAGGCGACTAACGGGATCGGGTGGTCAGGCTCGCTGACTTGGGGGGTGATGCATGTCATCGATCCCAATTACGTGGATCGATGCTCATGATATTAATCACTGGATTGTCTGGTCCAGACTCGATTATTTACAGACCGCCGTCATATAGCTGTAATATTGCTGAGTGCGGCGTTCAACAACAAACCAACCAACCAACCAACTTCTTTAATACTATTATATATGGTAACAGTAACTTCTATCATAGGCAGCAACTTAATAATGTAACACACACACACACACACACACACACACACACACACACACACACACACACACACACACACACACACACACACACACACACACACACACACATCACACACACACACATCACACACAGGCATATCCTACACCACGAGGTCTGACTTGGTTGTGGTTCAGGGAATTTTGACAGCAAATCGCTACATGAATCAAATTCTTCAACCTCACCTTCTTCCAATCATTGACCGCCCAAGCAACGACCAGCACAACGCTCCACCGCACACAGCTCGTATCACGGTAGACTACCTTCATAATGCCAACATCAACGACTTGCCCTGGCCGTCAAGATCTCCACATCTCAACCCAATCGAACCCCTCTGGGAGTAACTCGATCGACGTGTACGTCAACGCCAGAACACACCGCAGACAATCCCACAACTGGCCAACGCGTTACAAGCAGAATGGCGCAGAATTCCGCAGGACCGAATTCGTACACTTATCCAGTCATTGCCGAGGAGATGCATAGCCGTGATTTCTGCCCGTGGCGGTCACACGAGATACTGAGTTCAGTGCAACCTTGTGGCTTTATGTGACATGACAATGAACAGTTTTCAATGCCCTTGTACAACGACAACATGTGACTATCGACCTCCAAAATTTCATATTTGTATCTGTTATTTTGAATTAAATACATCGACTTTATTAGGTACAATACATTTACAAGAAAGAATCCCGTGCGTTCTCTTTTTTGAAGAGTATATATATAATATAACTTGTCACGGGGAAGTATTAACATCAGCCTTTTGTCTTGTTTACAGATCCAGATTCATTGAATAAAGATATGTTTAAATCATATTTTTTATGATAGAAATGTTTTACTGTCTCTCTAAAATGGGTGTTTTTTGTGCATCAGTTGCATCTTCATCACAATGTTTCATATTTTACGTAGTTTTAGTTTCATTTTTTTATGCAAACTGTGTACAATTATGTAAAACCCGGTTAAAAGTAAGTGCAGTAGATCATTTAAAGTTAACTCAATCAGAAAAATATAACTTAAACAGTACTTTGTTCCTTCAATTCCTATTTGAAGACATCTCCGATACAAAATACTTATATAATATATCTCAACACATATTGGATGATAAAAATTCAACATTATATATATTAATTAGTTTCTATTAGTCTCATATTTGCTTCTCATGTTGGATTTATGTTATTTCAAAAATAAATAAATCAATGTTTAGCAGTGCTTCGACAAATGACTTAATTTGTTGATATGATGATGAGCCATTTCCGTCAGCTTTAGCCTGACGGATTTTCATATTGAGTAATATAGATTTCAGAAAGCCATCGTTCAAGGGTTCTCTGATAATCGTCTGAACAGGACTTAAAATATCTATAATGTGCGCGTGTCATTCGCGGGTTTAACTATAGGATTTTGTCCAGACAGGCCGGGTATGTCAAGCAATAACAAACAATGGTATGATCTCGAATGTCTGTTTACACGATGCTGTCCAGCGCTTCGGTCCAGATACTAGTGTGTACTGACTGACTGATATAGAAGATTTAACGTGCGCTTTCCGACTGCAGCGTATTTCGCACACGGGCCTGGCCAGACCATTTAGTGTATTCCGAGAAGGGTGAAAGTGGTGTGTGCAACACAAGAGGGGGGCTTTTAGGGGTTGCTTATATCGATTTTTGAAATTTTAAAATTTGGAATAAATGCCTAGGTGGATGGAGGAGGGAACTAAGGGAGCTGGGTGAGGTGGGTATTTGTATGTTTATTGGATTTTGGGTTGGTAGATTAATTAGTTTTTAGATGCGCTTAATTAGGCCTGTTTTGATTAGGAATACGCCTAGGGCCTTGAAGTTTTCTAGTTTATTTTGTGTACTAGTGTGTACCAAACAACCTGTTTTTATAACAAACGCTGGCTTCTACCAGGGACCCTTTATGAAGGGCTCTTTGTATGGCCTCCCTGCTTCCAACAATTATCTCTTATGTTGTATCAACACAACTGTAATTATATGTGTATTGTCAGAGCCCGTGTCATGTCGGTATCAACCCGCTGCCAGGTGAACAGTAGCTATAAGATAACCTTGGTATAATCTGGGATGAGTGACTGTTGGTAAGACAAAGATGGTATGTGGATCAATCCATTTTACTGTGAACAGGGATGCACAAACTTAAAAACAAAAATACCTTTTCTAGCATCATTTATTTATCTATCTTATCCCATAAACACTTCACTTTTCTCGACAAGCATAGGATTCAACAATTATTCCACACAGGCACTTCTCTGTTCACGACGAGCGTAAGATTCAACCATTATTCCACACAGACATTTCTCTGTTCACGACGAGCATAAGATTCAACCATTATTCCACACAGGCACTTCTCTGTTCACGACGAGCATAAGATTCAACCATTATTCCACACAGGCACTTCTATGTTCACGACGAGCATAAGATTCAACCATTATTCCACACAGGCACTTCTCTGTTCACGACGAGCATAAGATTCAACCATAATTCCACAAATACACTTCAGTGTTCACGACAAGCATAAGGTTAAACAATTATTCCAAACAGACACTTCACTGTTGAAGACAAACATAAGATTCAACAATTGTTCCACACAGGCACTTCACCGTTCACGACAAGCATAATATTCAATTGTACTGTCAGAAATGCTAGAAACATGCTTTTTGCACCTTCAAACTAGATCAAATGTTTCATAGACAGGTGCTACCGAAATATCAAGTAAATATCGATCTACCTACCTGTGGCTTGAAGTATTTCAGTTACAATGAGTTTTAATGACAATTTTTCTATTGTCTGCTATTACTCTTCAATATGTTATTTCCCTTACATTTTTTATTGAGAAACACTTTAATTAATCTTATTCCATTACGAAGAATCTGAATAAATACACTGCTTTATTAAAAACACCTATCATCGCCAATCATCTGTTGGCTTCCCTTGTTAGTTCCCCCCTTGTTAGTTCCCCCCTTGTTAGTCCCCCCTTGTTAGTTGCCCCCTTGTTAGTTCCCCCCTTGTTAGTTCCCAACTTGTTAGTTTCGACCCCTTGTTAGTTCCCCCCTTGTTAGTTTCCACCCCTTGTTAGTTCCCCCCCCTTGTTAGTTCCCCCTTGTTAGTTTCCACCCCTTGTTAGTTCCCCCCTTGTTAGTTCTCCCCTTGTTAGTTCCCCCTTGTTAGTTCCCCCCTTGTTAGTTTCCACCCCTTGTTAGTCCCCCCCCCCCCCCCCCTTGTTAGTTCCCCCCTTGTTGGTTCCCCCTTGTTAGTTTCCACCCCTTGTTAGTCCCCCCCTGGTTAGTTTTCCCCCTTGTTAGTTTCCCCTTGTTAGCTTCCCCTTGTTAGTTCCCCCCTTGTTAGTTTCCCCCATTGTTAGTTTCCACCCCTTGTTAGTTTCCCCCCTTGTTAGTTCCCCCCTTGTTAGTTCTCCCCTTGTTAGTTCCCCCTTGTTAGTTCCCCCCTTGTTAGTTTCCACCCCTTGTTAGTTCCCCCCCCCCCTTGTTAGTTCCCCCCTTGTTGGTTCCCCCTTGTTAGTTTCCACCCCTTGTTAGTTCCCCCCTTGTTAGTCCCCCCTTGTTAGTTTCCCCCCTTGTTAGTTTCCCCCTTGTTAGTTTCCCCT